CAGTAACTAGACTCAAGTCAGTGTGCTGCAAATAACTCCTCTTCCGAATGTCGTACTGAAGAAGCAAAGAACTGCGCCGCCCAAGGCTCCGGCTTGGAAAGCTGATGTGATATTGCTCGAGATGTTGTTCGAGTTTCCAGAGTTGATCCCAAAGTCTCTCTTGAAACTGCTGCGGGCAATCGTGGTTCCGATGAACGCTGAATCGTAGCCAAAACTGCCAAAAATCAGTTGTTGGTCGTAGCCATAGCTATCCATTATCGAAACCTACAGGAAAGATCCCATGGCGATGATTGCTGCCTCGATGTAGAGTTTCCAGTTGTACACCTCCTTCGGCGTGGGCCGATCCTCGACAGCCTTGAAGCCACCCATGATTGCGATGAAACGTTGCTGCTGGCGGGGATTATTCGATAGAGCTCGAGCGGCGGAGCAGTCTGCAATGATCGGTTTATCTGATCGATGACACACGCGCGCACACTGGAGTCACATTCAACAAACTTCCGGCTGTCAAAGAGTATTTATCCTGCCCTCCTTTACCACCACGTCGGATGGCGCATCCCCACGGGGTACCCGGTGGAGAAAACATGGAGGATTTAGGAGTTGCTCATTCGCGGCGCCGTCTCTGCCCGGGCTTTGGGGGGTGCGTGGGAAGATGGGGGAATGCTTGCTAGTTTGACTCGCGCTGGTGCGCCCTGCGCCAGAAGAATTCATGGGTGCGTTCCTCGGAAGTCGTCCGTGGAACGATGTCATAAACGGATTTCTTATCCGATCAAGTGGAACCTAATTCTTTGCGCTAACAGCACACAGAAAAGTCTTTGTTCCAAGTAGCCACTGTTAGCGCTAGTCGCTGCCTTTTGCCGTGTTCTTTCATCTGACGGTACTGTTGCTAGAGTGCTCCCGGGAAGCTGTCAGCTGGTCTTGCCGACATTCGATCAGGAACTGGTTTATGCTAGCCCCACCACTTTGGGCTGACGATAGTTCCAAGTTTGCGCGCCATGGCTTCCGACATGCGACCCGAGAAGCGACCCGACGCGAACTACCGGCTTAGACTCCACACCGCACGTGGGAACGCGATGATGATTGATGAATGAACCGAGTTGTCGGGACCAAGGAGCATAAGGGTGATCTCGCAAGTTGTCAAAAGCAATATGTGGACCGAGGTCAACTAAGAGGCTTCAGCTTACCTAAGGTAAGTAACGCGGATCGAAGACTTGGTTTTTCGTCTCCGCGAAAAGGTGGCAGTCGTAAGGCATGTCCATTGGGAAATCCCGATGAAGTGCTTCCGTTCAATGCAACTCAATTTCGAGAGATCACGTTACAACAGCTCTTTGAGAAGTTACTGTGCCAATGCGGGAACTGCAATCAGTTACGGATAGCTGGCTTGGACCAACATCGCATCGAGCTTCGTTTAGAGTTCCGGGTGTCCACGTTGCGGTGTTGCACCTGTGTACTGTGTAAAGGCCCGAAGTTGCTCCTTATACCCTGCGCTGCGACCATACCAGGCCAAAATTGGAGGCCCACCTCAAGCACATCACCACGAGACACGTCAAAGTGTTGCGGGGATTCCCTGAATACCTGGGGAAGAAGGGCCGGTTGCAGAGTCCCCATTGCCAGGCCCCGGATTCCTCTGCCAGCTAAGTGCTTGGGGTAGTTCAGCGGAATCGGCGGCGCACTAGGGACTAAGACGGTCACAAAACTAACAATACCTCACGCCGTTTGCACTTCGAAAAATCTAATACCAATTCTCAGTGTTGAACCGTCTTGTTGGAGACCAGGCTTATGATGCTGGCCTCTACATATTATATATACAACTTGAATGTTGAAGTATTTGTACACTATTACGGGGCAGGTACGTCTTTGGGTGCTAATTAAGTATGGGCAACCATCAAAGCGTATGCCATTAATTCCAGATCCAGCTGACAAACCGTATAGGGCCAGTCTCTTGCTTCTCAGGCTCCTCGGGATAGGCATCGGCCTGCTCGAAAGCATCGTGAAGCGGGATGTTTTCAAGAACGACGCCCTTGGTCTTCTTGACGAACTTCCAGATCAAGAAAGCGCCAGTGACCAGAGGAATATCCCTGCAAGGTGGTTAGCAAACTCGCCCATGATATGCTGGTTAAGCAAGGGGAGTGGACTCACAAGTAAGACGAGACGAAACCACTAGCGCTCCAGTTGCCCTTGGTGAAAACTTCAAAGCCGCTCGTGAAGAGAATGACGATGCACATGAACAGGGCGACGTAAGAGCTGTAGACTAAATTCACGCTTTTGTTAGCAAGTCTTATCAGGTAATCCGAGACTGTTCAACTTACGGGTCCACGAGTTGTTCCAAGGCAGCCTGCTGAACTCAATGCCCTGCTTCTTCATCGCTGTCTTGAGACGGATATGGTTCAGGAGGATAGCCGACCACGACACCAAAACACCGGCCGCAGTCAGGTCTACCAGCCACCAGAAGACAGTCAATGCACCATTCGACAAGCTCATGAAGCTAAGGAACATGAAAGCAGTGAAGAGCAAGACGCAAACATAGGGAGTACCCCAGGCAGTCGTGCGTAGGAAGATCTTCGGGGCCTGTCCCTTGAGCGCGAGACCGAAAAGGACACGGGTGCCGGCGAGAAGACTCTGGTTAGACGCAGACCAGGCGGAGGTGATGACGACGGCGTTGACGACGCTGGGGATGGCAGGGATACCAGCAGCGGAGGCAGCGATGACGAAGGGACTCTGAGCAGCGGTGCCGTAGGCGTCGTCGAGGCGGGGGTCGTCACTGGCAACGAGCATACCGACGACCAGAACGGCGAGCATGTAGAAGAGCACGATACGCGCGAAGACACGCTTGCAGGCGCGGGGGATGGCACGGCGAGGGTTCTGGGTCTCAGCAGCGGCCATGGCGAGGGACTCAACGCCGGCGAAGGAGAAGACGGCGCTGGTCATGACACCCCAGTAGCCCAAGAACTTGCCCCAGTCGCCGGTCGCGATGTGCTCCACGAAGGGGCCGGGGCTTTGCCAGTACCTGAACCCGATGCGGGGGGTACCCGGAACGCCGCCGAGGTCGATGACGAGACCGAGGATGATGAGGAAGATGACGAGGAGGATCTTGAGCATAGCGAAGACGAACTCGACCTCTCCGAAGACACGCACAAAGGCGATGCCGACGACGAACGTCAAGATGATGAAGATGACAATGAAGACGGAGGGGTTCAGGTCGGTCCAGAACTCAAAGAGTACACAGATGGCTGTGATCTCGGAGGGGATAGACAAAATGTTGCCGTAGACCAAGTTCCACCCGATAGCGAATCCCCAGGCCGGATCGACAAGAAACTCGGCATGACGGACAAATGAACCGGTGACGGGGAGGAGCGCCGAAACTTCTCCGAGAGCGAACTGCACGGCGCAGACGATCAAGCCAACAGTCGCATAGCCAAGCAATGCGCCAAGCGGACCGCCGGTCTGGATAGCGCCACCGAGACCCAGGAAAAGACCGGTGCCGATGGCGCCCGCGATACCCAACATTGACAAGTGGCGCTGCTCCAAGCCGCGCTTGAGGTCGCGGTCCTCGGTGGTGGTGACAAAATCGCCGTTGTGGTCGTCGTGAGGCTCAAACGGGCCGCGCCGAGAGGCCTCGGCGGCCTCGACGTCGTCGGACGTGATCCAGGCGTGGCGGGTGACATCGGTGATGCCAGGCGACTTGGCGCCGGGGAACGGGATGGTGTCGGTACTCATCGCTTTTGTCATGTTTCCCCTTTGTCCTCAACTCGTGGCCTTTGTGCTTCCTTCACCGAGCGTCGGAGTGGGAAGAAAGGTGAGGGAAATAAAGCTGATCCCGAGCGATAAGAAAAAACCGCGATTGATAAAGCGCCACGTTTGCCCTCCTCGTTTTTCTTTCTCGCGAGACTCAATGAGATTACCTTAGGTAATCGTCTGAACCTGTAAGGTAACACACGGGAGACAAAAGGTTTCGATGCTGAGGAAACGAGCAACGCGATTGATAACCAAATCTTCACCTCATTGGAATGCTGAACAACCGTTGAATGTAGCGCTGAAGCCTAGATCATGCTCAAAGGGCCATGGCTCGCTCAAAAGGTCGCGAAAGGGGTTCGGATGGACAATCGGCGGACTGGGGGGATGGGAATCGAAGAGATTTTGTCGTCTTATCGCGACCTCGATTCGGGAAGGTGAGATTTCTCATTCGATGATGCCATTGCGCTAAGCGGGTCCCGATCCACATTCACTGCGAGCTCGTTACGTTACTGGCGGCGTACGCGTCTCTCGCAGACCGAGGCTCTCGAAAGGGAACTCGGCCGTTGTGTCTTTCGACAACTGACTCGCATCTCCAACCTCACGGGCAATATATGGTGATTGTTCATCGCCTTACATTATTAACAGTGGTTTTTCGCCTAGAAAATGGTGTAATGGCGTCCCAGCTGTTTTGGCAATATACACGATAAGGTAGGCGATGCACATAGGGTCGATCCCTCGGGTCTGGAATCTCGGTGAGGTATGGCCCTGGGCTAGACCATTTGACCTAGGCTAGCCTCCTACTGTACCAGTTCCCAAAATCATGAGCCTCAAGTTCAGGCAAAGCTCGTGGGGCCACCTTTAAGAGGGTGCACTGGATAGAAGATAATAAGTCAGGCGGATAGACATTCTACGCAGCTTGGAGTCAACTGCCGCAACCCAACATGCGCCACGCTATCATGTTTGATAAGCTGCATCTGCTGCAGCCTATGTGCCGTGCCACATCATATGTTGGTTCTAAATCTAGGGCTGACAGCAGTATATGCAGTCAGCATCTTCCCCGCGCACATCTAGGTTGAGTCCCCTCACTCTGATTTTCTCATCTTCATTCTTCCCTGAGTAGCAAAGGCCGTTGGTGCCTACTGGGGCGCGGCAGGCATCCTCATCGCATATCACAACATTCAATCTTTTATCAAACACATTCGCGCGCCATCATTTGACCAGATGGTCGCATCACACGCATGTACTCCTGAACCCTGTCATCAGTCGCTATGTCCGATCCATCAATCTATACGATCGGCTGGATCTGCGCCATTGTCCCTGAGTTCGTCGCAGCCCGGCTCTTCCTCGACGAGGTCCACGAAGAGCCTCGATCGCTGTCCAGAAACGACAACAACTCGTATAAGCTCGGGCGCATGGGCAAGCACAACGTCGCGATCGCGGTCCTTCCTCATGGCGAATATGGAGAAAGCTCGGCGGCAGTGGTCGCTCGAGACATGGTCCGCACATTTGTGAACATAAGGGTAGGGCTTATGGTCGGCATCGGCGGCGGCGCTCCGAGTCCCAGAAATGACGTCCGTTTGGGCGACATCGTTGTCAGCTCCCCGGCTGAGGGTTATGGCGGCGTGATTCAGTACGACTTTGGCAAATCCATCGAGGATGGGAAGTTCGAGATGACTGGGTTCTTGAATCAGCCGCCCCTTGCTCTAAGAACAGCCCTCAACATGCTGATTTCCGACCTCGAAATAGAAGGCAGCTCGCTTGAAGAGCACATTTTGAAGCGCCTGAAGAATGACATCTTGAAGAAGAAATACGGTCGGCCCAGTTCCAATTCCGACAAACTTTTCCGCAGCGACATTGTCTATGACACAAACAGGTCAATGGCTGATTATTGCGCCGACGACTTCGTGGATCGCCCGGAACGAGACCCCGGTTCAGAGCCCGTCGTCCATTACGGACTGATAGCTTCTGCAAATCAGGTAATGAAAGATGCTCAGAAGCGAGATGCACTAGCAAAGGAGAAGAACGTGCTATGCTTCGAGATGGAAGCCGCTGGTTTGATGAATCATTTTCCCTGTCTAGTCATAAGAGGAATCTGTGACTACTCCGACTCTCATAAAAACAAGCAATGGCAGGGCTACGCTGCCATGGCAGCCGCTTCTTTCGCCAAATCATTGGTCTGCTGTATTCCGCGTCAGAGCCTCGAGCATGAACAGTCTGTAGCAAAAGTATTGTCTTCTAGTGAGTAGCTCACAGAGAATCTCATCGCAAGTCGTTACTTGTAATTTCCCGATTTCTGACCAACGCACGTCAGTCAATTCAGTCAAGGAAGATGTCATCGCCATAAAAGATACAATCGATCATGACATTCTGGACAAATTGCCAATGGCTCAGGGTGCTGAATTCGACAGCTATGAAAATCAACACGAACCGAGATGCCATCCAAGTACCAGAGTTGATATTCTTCGCGACATTGAAACCTGGGCTCCTCATGCTACTGGCCCGAAACTTTATTGGCTCAGTGGACTGGCTGGAACGGGAAAGTCGATCATAGCTCGGACCATTGCTCATGAGTTTTACGAGACCAACATACTCGGCGCCACGTTCTTTTTCAAAAGGGGAGAAGTTGATCGTGGCAGCGCGTCGTTGTTTTTCGGTACGCTAGCCCGTCAGCTAGCGCAGCGCCGACCCGAGTTAAGCCCGTACATAGTAAAGGCGATCAAGGAGACGGATAATATCTGTTCCAAGAGTATGGAGGAGCAATTCACTAAGCTCGTCTTCAACCCACTCAAACTGGCAGCGTCAAAACCAGGGGAGCCCAAAAAGTTGATCCTGGTACTCGACGCATTGGATGAGTGTTCGAACGAGAAGGACGTTGAAATTTTATTGCGTTTACTGATCAAGGCTGTATGTTTCGATGGCTGCGGTCTGAAGCTGCTTATTACAAGTAGGCCAGAGGTTGCAGTGCGCGATGCATGTGGTTCTCCCAATCAAGGATTGTACCGGGAAGTTCGACTACATGACACACCAAATGAGATTGTCTCCAAAGATATCTCATTGTACCTTCGACATCAGTTGACAGAGATCAGGAATTTGTGGAACGCAAGATGCATCAATAATCAGAAACTACAGCTGGATTGGCCTGGGCAGGAGAAGATCAAGGCCCTTGTCGACATCACCATACCCTTGTTTCTGTTCGCGGCAATAGCTTGCCGCTTCATCCGAGACGAGCTATTCGGCAGTCCAGAGGAACAGCTTTTGAAGCTTGTTCAGACCGTTCAGAAAGGAGGCGTCAGCGACAAACTTCAAGAGACCTATCAGCCAGTATTGAGACAGTTCAGAGGCGAAAGAACGTCGTCAGAGCGAATGATCCTGCTTGGAAGATTTAAAGAGGTCATCGGCGCAATCATACTCCTCGAGCAGCCTTTGTCGGTTACCTCAATCGCCAGCTTGCTGGGTCTCAAGCCTTCGCAAGTTGGTGGTATCTTGGTTCCTCTCAGGTCTGTTCTTGATCTTCCGAGTGAGGAAGGCCTAGAGGTCAAACTTTTTCATTCGTCATTTCGCGACTTTTTACTGAGTCCAGTTGCCGGAGACTTCTCCATCAATTTCAAGGAAACACATTGGAGAATGGCGCTTGCCTGTCTTGAAATTCTTTCGAGGTCTTTGCGTTACAATATTTGCAGCCTCAAGCCCGCCGATCGACGGTCTGCGATTGCGAGAGACGTCCTGGAACAACAGCTCCCGCCACACACACGATATGCTTGCCGCTTCTGGTTTCATCACCTGAAATCCGCGGGTCAACCTCTCGAGGATGAGGATCAAGTCCATAAATTCCTCCAAGATCGATTTCTCTATTGGGTCGAGGCTCTCTGTGTCCTCGGAGAAACCAATCGTGCTATTCAAATGATAGACACGCTAATTCCCCTCGTGAAGGTGAGCTTCGAGGTTTTCTCCATCATGAGATCAATACAAGGTGAATGTATATTCATAGCAACAAGTCACAAAGAACCAATCAATATTTCTATATTGCCTACTTTGCTAACCAATATGGCAGCAACCAAAAATCAAGCTTTACAATCTTTTGGAAGACTCGGAGATGTTGATTTCCAAATACACCTCCGTTATTCTCGAGTATCCTTTGCAACTGTATTGGTCAGCATTGGTCTTTTCTCCCAAGACAAGCTCTATCCGACACGCTTCCATAAAAAGCATCCCGAAGTGTATCACTTTCCAACGACCACAAAAGTCTGGATGGACGCCTCTGATCCAGAACACAGGTCTTGGGGATGCCTATGAAGGTTATTATGCCGTTGTTGTTTCTCCTGATTCCAGGCTTGTTGCATTAAGTGGGCTTCGCGGGGACATATCGGTTTGGTCGCTCTCCCTGGGTGTCTTGATGACCAGCTTTCGCATGCCACGCCTTCACTCTATTGGTCCATACGTTCCAGTCGCCTTTTTCAAGGACTCGAAGCGAATTGCATCGGCATTACAAAACTTAATCCACGTCTACGTCGCTGAAACGGGCGAGGAACTATGCTCATTCCGTATTCCCGATGGGGTCGACGTAGTACAACTTGACGTTTCCCACACTTCAGAGAAGATTGCGGCGTCTTACGACAATTTTACCGCTGCGATATGGACAATGTCCACAGGGCGTAGGATCAAGCTCCGGCCTATAGACAGAGTCCAGAGGCGTGGTAGCTCACGCTCTGTATCACAAGGAGGCTCATTTGTCAGTTTCTCTCCGAATTCTGAGATTGTAGCGACCTCATCTATACGTGGAAGTGTCCATCTTTGGGAAGCCTTGACAGGTAATTGCCTTCAGACGTTTGAAACAAATGGGCCCGTGGTCAGCCAGCTCGCCTTCGTGTCAGACACCAATCTCCTGATCGTTAAGGAAGCGGATGGAGAAATTCGAACCTTAAACATTGACACCGGTTGTTGGAATTCTCGAGTCCCGGGAGGAGAAAACACACGTGGACCTACAGCTATTTCACACGACTCGAGGCTCATCGCGCATCAAAGTCTCTCCGATAGCGACGCTATTTCGATTTCGTCATTCGATACCGGCGAACACTACCAATCCCTACATCTCACCAGCATTCTCGCCGCCAGCCCATTCAGCTTTCATTCACTTCGGCCTAAGCATTGGGTAGCGGCATTCTCACCCGATGGCAAATTTCTCATTGTTGCTCAAAGCAACGGAGTTGCTATCTGGTCCTTGTCCATGATCCGAAAGCCCAGAACGCTGGACAGTGGAATGAATCAGCCAATACAGCCAATGTCTGCGGTGACTAAGAGCTGTTTCATACATCGGAGAGCTTCCGAAGAAACGGCACAAATCATTTCAATGGACAAAATCGACGACTCCAACGAGGTTAATATTTGGTCGTCTGACACTGGCGAGCTAGACCTGAAAGTCAAAAACGATGGAGATATCTGGGATTCAGGAAATGCCACACTCTCGCCTGATTCAAAATGGATGTTCCTCCCTTGCCAGCCGGCAATCCACAACATCCAAGATAGCACAGTCGTTCATGTCATGAAGCCTCCATGCCCTCGTAATCCTAGCTGGCTCGATTACAATGAGGCAAGAAAGAGCGAGGTTTTGTTTTCGGAAGATTCACAATCCTTTGCATTTGGCGCATATCATGACTTTAGTCTCTGGAAAATGCACGGGGGGCTGCAATACCGAGACTCTACCTGTGCCGGGACCCTCATCACAATTACGCCTGATTGGAAATACGCGGTCTACACAATCGAGATCCCATGCCTAGAGGCACTCAAAAAGAACGGCGAGCCTAGATCAGATGAGATGTCTCACAGAGTCAGGTACTTGAGCATTGATACACACAAATACGTGGATATGCCCGAGGAAGCTGACGACTTCAGCTTTCTCGCCATATCACCAGACTCGAAATGGGTGGCCTCAGTGCCAAATCGTGGTAAAGAGCTCTCCCTATGGCTAGCAAGCAAATGCTCCCGCCAAGCCCTCTTTGAGCCCGAGTCTCGCATCACTGCAGTCGCATTTTCATCCAATTCTGAATCAGTGGCATCAGCGGACAAGGCTCAAAACATACGGATTTGGTCGACAATTTCGGGGCACTGCACAAACGTCTTGAATGTAGGACGTAGTCTCTTCGGCCTATCTTTCTCGCCCGACGATTCTCAGTTGAGGACCTCCTTTGGGGCCATTGCCATCGAAACGTCCATCCGCCCACCCCAAGTAGCCAATTCTACCACGGATGATGCCGAACTTGAAAACACGTCTGTCATGCTTCAGAGACCGCGTTGGCAGGGCTATGGAATCGATGTAAGCGGTAAGTGGATCACTTGGGACGGTGTCAACTTGATGCTCATGCCGACCGATATCAACCCTGCTTCGAATTTGAATTCCCCTCGCTGGGATTATGATGATAGGCGATGCCAGGTGGCTGCTGGCGAATCCGTTGTTGCTTGGGTAGGTCCCTCTGGCGAGCTATATACCATGGGGTTCTCGAGAGATATGAAGCCCTTTGACTAAGTCTTGCGCCAGCAAAATTATTGGAGTTGCCTTTCATGTAACCAGCCTCGTCTCATTTGTTCCTTCATACTGCTTGTCTACTTCCCTTTCACCCGCGCTCACTGTCCATATTTAGAATATCTATAGTCTCGAAGAGATCGTAATCATGTTTACATTCTTGTCTCTGAAACTGGCCATGTGGCGAATCATGACGGACTTATCGCCTACACGAATCATCAAACCTTATCAGAGAGCTACCCGGTGAATTTTGATAATTCCCTGCCAGACTGTTGTGGTTTTACACGAGAGATAGCCCTTTGAAATATGATCTTCAATGATAACCAGGCGAGTTTCAGTATCCTGCTCTCCGGAATGCTTCATCCAGCTTCAACTCAAGAACCTGCCGCTGCGCTTGAATACCTGCCGTAATCCGTGCATTCTCCTCCTCCCCAGCTTTCTTCTTCTCAGCGGCGTCCCCCTCATCGATGGTCTCAACCTCATCAGCCATCATATCATCAGCTTCCGAAGCCGACGTCAAAGCCATAGGGGCCATCCGCATACTCGCCATCCTCTTTGATGACAAAGTCGCCCCGGGAAGGAAGCCTGGAGCAACATACTTCTTCGACTTCCCCGCCGAGGCGATCAATGTCGACAGGACCGCGGCGCTAATATCTAGCACATTATCCGCCTTGAACGTGTCGGGGTCGTTGAGGAGCTGTAGTCCGATGCCAAAGGCCACAGACAAAAGGGGTCCTGCTCCGGGGATAAAGCCAAGGCCGAGCTGGACCACGTGCGTGACCAGGTCCAGGATAAAAGAAGAATACTTGTACGGACGCCAGCCGACCTCGACGCCAAATGTAGCGCTAATGACATTCGCAAGGTCGATCTCGCGAATGAACCCATCCGTGTGGACGGTATCGCTCGCCGTCCAGGTACGCCCCGCGTGCCCGACGAGGAACAGCGCGTCGGTCCTCGTCGTCGCGTTGTAGACGCCGTACTCCGGATTGCGCAGCTTGTGGGGAATGGTCAGGTAGGTGATGAGGTCCGGGACCTTAAAGAGCCACGTCAGGTCCTTGTTCAGGCCAAGGCCTGCTTCGCGCGTGGACGGGTAGGTACGCGGCTCTCCTGCGATGTTGAAGCAGTTGATGGTGTCGCGTGCCTTGAAGTCGATGACGACGTAGGTGCAGTACTGCTTGTACGCCTCGTCGGTCTGCTGGCAGACGGGGAAGTAGATGGCACGGATCGGGATCGTGGCACTGGCTGCACGTTAGAACTTCTGCAGGGTCTTATGGAAATAGTAGCTAGCGGGGTAGAGTACTCAATCCACAGCCACTCGGTGTCTTTGCGACGAATCTTGACCGGGCGTAGGATGTATTTCCTTGGACCGCCCCTGTCGCGGTCTCGCATCTCGTTCCAGTTCAAGCTGTTTGGGTAGCTGGTGATGGCCGTCAGGCTGCTTGGATCCGTGGTCTTGCTTTCGCCGACGAAGAATCTGTCCCACTGCCAGAAGCGGGTAGCATACAGACTAGCTGTCCCGCTCTGAGACTTTGATCGGAGGTGGGTTGGCATTGAACTCGCGCTGCCGCTGCCAATCCAGCCGTTCCACTGCGCGTGTCTCGTGAGCAACAGAGCTTCGGGGAGAAACCTTGGACAGAAGGGAGGGGGCGCGTACCTGATATTCGATGAGAACATGGCTATAGAACTGCTCCTCGTTCTCTGCGGACCAAGTATTTCCGTACTTGAGGGAAGATCGAACGAAGAAGCATTCGCCTTCAGGGAAGTAGGAGGCCATTGCAAAGAGTAGTGGAGTCGAAGATGAGAATCAAGGGGAAGACGATACGAAGATAGATAACACTGCTTCGAGTTCTCTAGCACATAGACTATGGACTTAGTAGAAGAAGAGATAAGTCAGAGGTCAATGGGAGGGCGGGCTTTATACTCCTCGACAGCTTGGATAATTCACAGGAATCTTGCGTGACTGAAGTATTCTCACCAAGACCTGGAGCTCCTCGGTTTGCTGGTGGTTCTATCGACACACAACCTTCGGATGCACCGTGATGCCATTTGGATGAAGTGTGAAGGTGCCAGTGGATGAAAATAGCACTCGGTGAAGTTCTCAACCGCTCAAAAGTCCAGATCTTGAGACATGCAGGCGATACGCCAACTCGACTACGCAGCGATGAGCAAAAGAAGGGACGATAATGGTGGGCCTCGTCGATCAGCCCGGGACGAGCCGCCCGGGAGGCGACATAAGAAGGCGGGGTCCGCATGAGGACTCTCCACGTTGGGCACGACCTGCATTTGTCGAGATGTGTTGTTATGCAGTGTACCAGTCGGTTGATACTTGTGTTGCTAGGAGCCTACGGCCCGGTACAGCTACCCCGACTTCATCCCGCTTCGGTGTAGCAGGATCACGTCGTCCCGCGTCAGACCGGTCCGAAGTGTGCCTGAACTACGCAGTCTGATGTCCGAATGAAGCGGTACACATCGTACCGCAATCCGGCCCATCATGCGGCCGCCGCTTGAGAATACGAGAAGCCAAGATGCCCCCATACACACTCCTCAACGGGTGATGAATAGTACTTAACCGATCATAAGGCAGGGTAAAAGGAGGTAGTATCGGGGATACCATGCGCGCAGCGTAGCAGAATACTTGATTAAGAAAGTCGCTCATAGCAAGATTGTTCAGTCTACTTTCAAGACGTTTGTGATTAGAATCTGTCGAGTGAAGTACTTACACCCGGCTTGAATCGCTTAAGCGTGCGCTGGTGGCATCAGCCCATCTGGATACTTCAAGTAGTCGTGAGATACGATGCTTCTATACTACGGCTTCCTTACCGTGGAAGACATGTTATTAAAGCGCGCGGTAGTAAAGCACCACACCCCATCCTCTTGGGGCCTCAATCAACCCGCGATGCTCACAAAACCAAAAGCTACGCGAACGGACCTCTAGAAAGACAGCACGAGCGTGCCCCAACCTGGAAGTTCAGCGCGACTGACATCATACAGGGACAGCCGGAGCCTACATCAGACGGCCAAGTTCAATTGTGCATATGCCAAAGTTTGGCGACGAGACTTCGGATGGTTCACAGTTCACAAGCAACGACGAGGCCCCACGGCCGAGAATTGGGCAAAAGCTACGAGCTTCGTATCGGTGGCTCCCGTGTAGTGAACCCCTCTGCCCGCAAATCACAAGCTTGGCGAATCTGGTACTGCTTGCTGTGGCCGACGTCATGCAGTACGGAACTCTAGGGGATTACGTGCCCGATGGGGCCTTCCCGATCACGAGCTTTCTGTTCAATCCGCGATGGCTAGAGAGGGCGGTTTAACATGTTTGTATTATGCTGGGCTAGCCAGCATCACAGATGCCTGGTGGCCATCTCTCGAAAGACAAGAATCCTCCCATGGGCTGGTGGGCTCGAGCCTCACCAAGCCCAATATGCAAGTTACCTCCCCACAACCGACTGTATCCCCATGATTTCCAAGCAGCAGAATAGTTGAACCTTGGCCATTCGTGCCGAGGCTATGCCGTTTGCTCTCCCAATCCTCCCAGTCGTTTGTCGCGTTCCCCAAAGTCCAGGCTGCGGGTCCGAGTGACGTAGAACATCGGAAACCATGAATTCGTGACGTATCCGACCCTTTCAGCGAAGAAAATGAATAGTTTCGAAGACGCAATGCCATGCTCGCAATGATTGACCAAAATCAGGCCCTCGAGGCGGCGGGTTTATGTACAATCCCCTTAGAAGAAAGTTTCCAATCCGACATATCCCGAAACCCATAATAATTGTTGACGAATTATTTCATTCGTGTAAAAGTGCAGCTAAAGTGCGGTGTCTGAATCTCGAGAGGTCCCTATCACGGGACGACTTGAGTAACTACCGGCGCTCCGGCTCGAAAGGGTTCTCGGCTCGCTGGTGAGGCTGGCGCTCGGCTTCGAAGGGGTTTTCGTTACCAGGTTGGTTATTTTGGCCATGCGGCTGCCAGGCGCGCGGGGGCTTGCCCATGGTTGGGTGGTCGTAGACGTCGCCGTCGATTTCGAGGTCAATCTCGTCCTCCTTGCGCTCCTGCTTTTGTCTTCTCATGTGCAACACAGTCAAGACGCCAAGGGTACCGCAGATGAGCACAGCACTGAGAAACATGATGTTAGTCTTGGCTACGAATGCTAAGGTAGGCCCTGGAATAGCTTGGCGGCATGCGAATGCAAGCAAAACTCAAAAAGCAGAGTGCGGAACAGTTCGGGTAGACCTACGCAGTAATGCCGATAGTGATGCCGATAATCTTGGAGGACTGAAAGGGTTTTTCGCAGCGGGAGCTGTTGTCTCCATCCGCGCAATCATCGCGCGCAGCGAGGTAGTGTACAGCGCGAGCGACGGGTGCCAGGAGGCTTGCGGCAGTTGTTGAGGAACTCATGATGCGACTGAGGAGGGATCGGATTATTGTGGATATGATGTAACGGTTCGATTGTGGATTGGATAATCGTTTGTAATGACGATGGAATTCCCTCGAGTTCCGATAGAATTGTAGATATCGTCACGTCGCGTCGAGTAAGGTGGAATCCTCCCTTTCGTATTTAATTCCTTGGCTTGAGCCGTCTGCTTCTTGTCGCAACTATCGCCTTGGTCGTCCTCGAATTCCTATCGTTCGGTTGCGGCAAGCGGGCTGCGGATTGCTCGTCTGTAATGAGTGGATTCGCCCCTGTGTCGCTTGTGTGAAACCGGATTTGGAGCCCCTGCTATCGCATTCTCTGATTGCTAACGGCTTTTTTATGCAAGGAGTGACTGAAGTGAAGAAGGGCGAAAACAGTTTGCGAACAGAGACACAACGAAAAAGTGGCCGGTGCCAAGAGGAGATGCAGGAAGGAAGGAACCAAAGAGTGAATACCCGGGAAGGTTTGTGTTTGCTGGCGAGGGAAAGCAAGAAGGGGGCGAGGAGGGAAAGAGCGCGCGAGATTGAGGCGGGCAGGGACGGGAAGCAAGCTGGAAGGAATGGAAGGAACGGATGGAATTTAGGAAGGGACCCGA